ATCAGGGCTTTCGTTGTTGGTGTGAACGACACCTGCGTGACCTGCATGAAAGCGGGGAATGTGGTTCGGGGCTACGGTGGAAGGATGAGATGTGAAGAGACGCACCTGTTGACGGATGCGAAGATAAAGACTCTTGAAGATTCTCTTCTTCCCAGAGCCATCAAGCTGCACACCGACCGACTCCTTGTCGAGCCCATAAATGGCAAATTGATTGTGCCACGTGTCTTGTGTGGGTTGCTGGAACAGAGATATGTGTCTGAGGAGCACATGACGGAGGGCGTGTCAGACGCCGATATGGTTCTGTACGTTTTTGCGGGTCCATTGAGTGGAGCCATTGCGTGGGCTGCTTCGTGTGCTTTACAGCACGATGGTCGGCCGGTTGTCGGTGTTGCGAACGTTGATCCCCAGTACATAGACGGAGAGTCTGTCGATCGTGTTGTTGCACATGAGATTGCGCATGCTCTTGGATTTGGTCGTCAAAACCTGCAAAGCAGGGGCCTTGTGTCCTCCAAGTATGACGTGCGTGGGAAGCCCTCGGTGACGATGGTGACTGGACGCAACGTTAAGGAGAAGGCGGCAGCGCACTTCAACTGCGATTTGCTCGAGGGCATGGAGCTGGAGGACTACCCCTTGAAGAGCGCGGGATCCCACTGGGAGCGACGCAATGCGGTGAACGAACTGATGGCTCCCAGCGTCGGCATCGGCCGCTACACGGCACTGACGATGGCTGCGTTTGAGGATCTCGGCTACTACAAGGCCGTGTGGGGTATGGCGGAGCCGATGTCGTGGGGGAACGGCACTGGCTGCGAGTTCCTGGAGAAGAAGTGCACGGAGATCAGCAACCCTGCCACTGCCTACCCCCACATGTCATGTGATGCCTCCGACAGCGCGACGCTTCGCTGCTCAACTGAACGCCACTACGTCGGGAGGTGCAGCGGGAATCTTGTGGATGGCCATCTGAGCACAAGGGACAAGTGCCCCCTCGTCTCGTCGTTTTATACTTCATCCGGGAGTGGGGGTTCAGTTCTCAGCAGGTGCTCGGATGGGAGCGTTGCGTCTCTCCCGGGGTCGCTGACTGGCGAGGGCTCGTGGTGCCTGGATGCGGAATCCCTGCAGGCGAAGGCCGGCAACAGCAGTGACTATGCGAGCGTCGGCGGTGTGTGTGCGCAGGTGCAGTGCGCAGAGGGCAAGGTGAAGGTGAAGTACCTCGGCGGGAGTGGTTTTGAGCCGTGCCCCGAGGGCGGCGAAATCCAAGTGACGGCGTCGGAGCACTTCAAGGACGGTGGCAAGATCAAGTGCCCCCGGTACGAGGAGGTGTGCACCGTCGCCGCCAACGGCAGCGGGTTTATCTTCGAATGGGGGGAGGTGGAGCTCCAGCGTGCGAGCGCGGGCTCTCCGCACACTTCGTCTAACGGTGGCCTGCCCCGTGGGCGCGAAATGCTTACGCTTACATCACGGGCAGTGCGGCGGCCGCCGTTGGCTTCAGTTCCTTTGCGTTTCTTCTTGTGGCCACCGTCGCCGTGGCAGTGCTGCGGCTTTGAGCGGCTGTCGTGATTGGGGACAGGCAACGCACGTCTGGACCCAAAAAAAAAACGTGCAACGCGTCCCTACGGAACCCTGCACGCGATGCGTAAAGCATCAGTAATACACTACACAGCCACCCCCACTACTCCCTTTGTTTTTTGTTTTTTTTTTTCAAGGACGGACTCTAAGAAGTATTGCTTTGCTTTGCCCGCTGTTCATGGCAAAAAAAGAAAAACGTTTTTTGTGTGTTGAGGGGATTTAAGTTTTGTGAGAAATGTGCGGGAAAAAAAATGCGTTGAGCGGAAGGGACTAACTCCAGCATCGCACGTACG